ATAGACTCCAACCAATAACTTATGAATGATTGTTATGTTTGTTAAGTATGTCTTGTTACGTGTTAATTAATTGTAATTTTTTTATATTAACGGTAACCAAAGTAATTCTATGTATTTGTGAATGTAAAAAATATTTCAATAAAGAGAAATTTAAACATAAGGGCTAATAGGCATGTAGGGATGTATATAAAAAAATACCCCTTTCTGTCTCATTAGAGATATTTTTGCCAGAAGCTCAAAGAAGCAAGGCGAATGGTTAGTTAGGACCAAGCTAAGAGGTCTGCCTTGACGTGGCAGGTGGGCATACCCTCTCATTCGAGGTAACTAAAAACCTCCATTTGTTTAAAACATACATAGGGATGTGGAAAGAGGGCAGGTAACTTTTTTCCAATGTCATACATTGCTTATCTTTCACTGACATTAAGAGAGATGTTCCAAGGTAAGGTACAAACATAATTTATGCATTCCCAGAAAAAAAGGGAAGAATTATGCATAGGTAGGGTAGTTGACTTAGCTATGCAATTTAGTTATTAATGCCGGCAATTTACCTATGGAACCATGTTCTATTTAACATATTTATAAATGATCTTGAAATAGGCATTGAAAGCCATGTATCAGTGTTTGCAGATGACACAAAACTTTGTAAAGTAATAAAATGTGAGCAGGATATTGCTTTGTTGCAGAGAGATTTGGATAGATTGGGGCACTGGGCACTAAAATGGCAGATGAAATTTAACATAGAGAAATGCAAAGTTATGCACTTCGGGGTTAAGAATGCACAAGCAACTTACACACTAAATGGTAGTGAATAAGGGATAACCACACATGAGAAGGATTTGGGCATTGTTATAGACAACAAATTAGGCAGCAATATGCAATGTCAATCTGCAGTTGCTAAGGCCAGTAAGATTTTGTCATGTATAAATAGGGGCATAAATTCTCGGTATGAAAATATAATTTTGCCTCTGTATAAATCGCTGGTAAGACCACACCTTGAATATGCTGTGCAATTTTGGGCGCCTGTTCTAAAGAAGGATATCATGGCGAGGGTCCAGAGACGAGCTACAAAATTGATAAAAGGAATGGAGCATTTTAGTTATGAAGAAAGGTTACAAAAATTAAATCTGTTTAGTTTGGAAAAACGGCGCCTGAGAGGGGATATGATAACTTTATACAAATATATTCGGGGCCAGTACAAACCTTTATCTGGAAATCTATTCATAAACAGGGTTATACATAGGACACGAGGTCACACATTTAGGCTGGAAGAAAGGAGATTTCATCTAAGGCAAAGAAAAGGTTTTTTTACAGTAAGAACAATAAGGATATGGAATTCTCTGCCTGAAGAGGTGGTTTTGTCAGAGTCCATACAGATGTTTAAACTGAAATTGGATAAATACTTACAAAAACATAACATACAGGGATATAATTTCTAATTAGTGGGGTAATAGCTGATTGATCCAAGGAGACATCTGACTGCTATTTTGGGGTCAAGAAGGAATTTTTTCCTAGTTTGTGGCAAAATTGGAAGTGCTTCAGACCAGGTTTTTTGCCTTCTTTTGGATCAACAGCAACAACATTTCTGAGGAAGGCTGAACTTGATGGACGCAAGTCTCTTTTCAGCTATGTAACTATGTAACTATGTAACCAGAGTGACTATGTACAGTCATTCCTTCTTAAGTGAGCAGTCAGGGGTCTACGGGTGTATGCGGTTTTCCCACTTCCCCACCAGTCCCATCAACTACATCCCTTTCTAAATGTTTGCAGATATATCTCCCAAGCCCTCTTTGTACGGTAGCCAAGTTCGCTCTATTTCTTGACCACTTAAGTGTTATTAGCTGTGTTGGCTGACATTTTTTCATAGAGGAAATATTGGTGTATCTTGTCTGTGAGTTGGGCCGCTGTGGGGCATGTGTTTTTTTCCATGAAAGGGCAAAAAAATAAATTTTTTTAAAAATTAACCCCTACCTACCCCCCCACCCTAAAAATAATGAGGGGGGTGTCATGATTACAGTATGATCCAGCACGTAGAATTGTGTAACACAGAGGACTGATAGGTAACGTATACAGGACCTTAGAATGGCCGGACTAACGTACCAAAGAATAGTCAGGAATAGCCGAAGTCAAGGGATACACGAAGAGACACAACGATATGGAAAAGCCAGGAGTCAGGGATACCAGAAAACAGGGAAGTCAAAAACAATGCCAAAGTCAAATACCCAGAATTACCAGAATAAATACCGCGCTGTCGGACAACCACAAGGGAAACCACGACAGGGCACTGAGCAGGATGAGAACTGGGCCTAAATACCCCTCCTGTAGATCTGATAGGCTGTAACCAGCCTTTGACCCCAAAGTCAGTTACCAGGTTCCCATTTGCATAATTGCTGCTCAGCATTAACCCTTATGTGGATTAGGTTGCTGCTCGGCACAACTTTTCCTGTATGGACAGTAAATATCATTAACCACATTTTTATAAGTGGATGAATACACAACATTACCCCCCACCTGAAGAACTCCCACCGGGCGGGCAGGACCAGGCTTGAGAGGAAATTTGGCGTGAAAATATCGAATTTTGCGGCCAGCATCTATATCAGACGCCGGAACCCAAGAACGATCGGCTGGTCCGTAACCTTTCCAATCCACCAAGTACTGTAAAGTGCCCCGACTCTTCCTGTCCAGAAACAACTAAGGGAGGAGGAGGGACACTTGAGACAGTATATTTATTGCACACAAAAGGTTTGAGTAAGGACACTTGAAAGGTATTAGGAATTTTCAAGGAGGCCGGAAGGGCCAGAGAGTACGCAACAGGATTGATCCTACGAAGGACATGAAAAGGTCCAAGGAACCTAGGAGAAAATTTCATGCTAGGTACTTTAAGCCTGATGTTACGAGAAGATAACCAAACCCTCTCGCCCACTTGGTAAACAGAGTTGGCACCTCAACGTGTATCATCATGATGCTTGAAACGGTCAGCAGCAGTACCCAGAGCAGATTGAACTTTAACTCAGGTATAACGGATGGAAGCCAAAAGTCAGAAAAAACAGCCAGTAGGACAGTAGGATGTCGGCCATTATTAACAAAAAATGGACTATGCCCAGAGGAGTCATGGTCAGCATTGTTCCTAGCAAACTCGGCCCATGGTATTAATTCAGACCAATTGTCTTAAGTGCTATTAACGAAACAAGGCAAATATAATTCCAAGAACTGGTTAGCCCTCTCAGCTGTACCATTGGTCTGGGGGTGGTAAGAGGACGAAAAAGACAATTCAATCCCTAATTGTTTATTGAAGGCCCTCCAAAACCGAGACACAAACTGAGAACCTCTGTTAGATACCATATTAGATACCATATTGTGAGGAATGCCATGCAGACGGACAATTTCTCGTATAAAGATTAGTTTAGATTGAGATAAAGGCAATTTCTTGAGAGAAATAAAAAAAATAAAATGAGCCACAACCATGAGAATGGTGGTATAAGTGTTAGAACTAGGAAGTTCAACAATGAAGTCCATGGACAAGTGGGACCATGGGACCTCAGGAATAGGAAGAGGTTGTAACAAGCCACAAGGGAGTTTATGAGGCACTTTGGAAACCGCACAAACAAAACAAGCCTGCACATATTCCTTAACATCCCTCCTGAGGGAATCCCACCAGAATGACCTCATGATAGCAGAAGTGGATTTATTAATACCTGGGTGACCGACCAGCAGACACATTGTCGTGAAACACCTTTATTATATTAACCCTCTCCCCCAATGGAACGAACAGTTTGTCCTGAGGTTTACCGCAGGGCACCTGAGACTGAGCCTCCATGATGGAGCCAAGCAGTGGAGAGGACAATGAAAGGACAGTGGATGCAATGATACATTCCGGGGAATGATATGGGACGTTTCTTGCTCTAGTATAGCCTCAGTATCAAACTGCCTGGACAAGGCGTCGGCCTTGACATTTTTAGAACCAGGTCTGTAAGTGATATGAAAATTAAAGCGAGAAAGAAATAGAGACCACCTAGCTTGTCTAGAAGATAATCGCTTAGCATCTCCTATGTAAACCAGGTTTTTGTAATCAGTAATGATCAAAAGGGGGTCCTTGGAGCCCTCTAAAAGAAGTCACCACTCCTTGAGAGCTAGAATAAAAGCCAACAATTCTCTATTGCCAATATCTTAATTGCGCTCAGCAGGAGACAACTTTCTAGAAAAGTAACCACAAGAATGTAACAGAGTTTTTTGGCTCTCCCTCTGGGAGAGAACTGCCCCTACCCAGTGGCGTACATACCAGAGTCGCAGGGGTCGCGGCTGCGACCGGGCCCGGCCCACCAGGGGGCCCGGTCGCCACTGCGACCCGGTATGTACCCACAGGGCCAGCCTCTTCTCCTGGGGGGCCCAGGAGCCGGCCACCTCAGGGCCCTGCTGACCCCGGCGGGTGGGCTGGCTGGCTGTCTGGGTGGCCCGTGAGGGAGCACTCTCCCCTGAGTGCTTCCTCTTCAGCTCCATTACGTCATCTTCCGGCGCCAGCATCCCTATGCAGCGCGCGAGAAAGCTGAAGAGGAAGCACTCAGGGGAGAGTGCTCCCTCACGCGCCGGCCACCCAGACAGCCAGCTTGCCCGCCCGTTCAGGAGCACCACCACTGGACCCCAGGGAATCCCCCCAGCACTCCAAAAGGTAAGAAGGCTGGGGGGATTACATTTTAAAAAGAAATGTGTGTGTGTTAGTGTGTGTGTTAGTGTTTGTGTTAGTGTTTGTGTGTTTGTGTGTGTGTGTATTTGTGTGTGTGTCAGTGAGTGTGTCTGTTATTGGGTGTGTGTCTGCTAGTGAGTGTGTTACTGTGTGTGTTTGTTACTGAGTGTGTTTGATCTCTGTTAGTGAGTGTGTGTTTGTCAGTGAAAGTGTATGTTTTGTAAGTGAGTGTGTATGTATGTCTGTCGCTGAGTGTGTCTCTGTCAGTAAATGTGTGTGTCTGTTAGCTAGTGTGTATGCGTCTGTTCGTGAGAGTGTCTTTGTGTGTCTTCAGCATTTACCTTTCTCCAGCGTCGGACTCCCTTGGCGCTGGGGATCCCTCCGCCTCTCAGCTCCGAATGCACATGTGCGGCAAGAGGCGCGCGCGCATTTAAACCGCCCATAGGAAAGCATTACTCAATGCTTTCCTATGGACGTACAGTGTCTTCTCACTGTGATTTTCACAGTGAGAATCATGGAAGCTCCTCTAGCAGCTGTCAATGAGACAGCCACCAGAGGCTGGATTAACCCTCAGTGAAACATAGCCGTTTCTCTGAAACGGCTATGTTTTCAGCTGCAGGGTTAAAACTAGAGGGACCTGGCACCCTGACCACTTCATTTAGCTGATGGGATCTGGGTGTCTGTAGTGATCCTTTAAGTGTGTGTGCATACCGCGGTCGCGGGTTCGCAGCCCTGCAACCCCTGTGACCAGGTACCCGCCGCCATGTGTTGCGGCCCCGACCCGCAACAATTTTCGCACCCCGGCCCCATGGGTCATGTGTACGCCACTGCCCCTACCCCTGTCTCTGAAGCATCAACCTCCAGTATGAAAGGCTTACTGGTGTCAGGATGTATCAATATGTCGGCGGAGGCAAACCACTGTTTGAGAGTTTCAAAGGCTTCAATAGCGTCCTTAGACCATATCGTACTACTAGCCCCCTTGCGTGTCATATTGGTGATGGGGGGTATTACTGAAGAAAATCCCTTTATAAATCTTCTGTAATAATTGGCGAAACCAATAAACCTTTGAATGGCTTTCAAACCAGTTGGTAAAGGCCACTGTAGAACAGACTCTAGTTTTTTAGGATCCATCTGAAACCCTGAGGCAGAAATATTATATCCTAAAAACTGTACTTCAGACTGGTCAAAGATACATTTTTCCAATTTACAATAAAGTTGTTTTTTTAACAAGGTATGCAGAACTTGTTTAACGTGGTGAGACTGGAGGTCAGGAGAATAAATAAGGATATCATCCAGATAGACCAAGACAAACAAGTAAAAATAATCCCTGAGTACATCGTTAATGAAATCTCGGAAAACCGCTGGAGCATTGAACAACCCGAATGGCATCACTAGATATTCATAGTGTCCACATATTTCAGCAATAATGGGGTGGGCTTTTTTAATGGTGATTTTGTTCAATGCCCTGTAATTGACACAAAAGAATACCGCACCAGCAGGCGAGGATGATCCTTAATAAATTCCTCCATTACACTACTCTCCTGAGGAGATAGAGCATAGACTGCTCCCTTAGATGGCATAGCGTAAGTTAATGGAACAGTCATATGGTCTATGAGGAGGTACAGTATTAGACTGAGTCTTGCTGAATACTTCTTGAATGTCACAGTATTATATAGGAAGCTCGGGATTTTGAGGTGTACTCAGGGCCGGCGCTACCTGTAAGGCGGACTAGGCAGCCGCCTAGGGCGCCCCTTGGGAAGGGGCGCCGCCAGGAGCGCCGGCCCTGCTCATGCTGCAGCAGCCCGAGCGCTCTGTAGAGAGCCTCAGGCGGCTGCAGCTTTTCCCGGGTGGTGCGTCCATGAGGGCGGACCGCACCGCCCGGGCGCAGCATGGGGAGAGGGGCTGACAGGAGGGAGCGCTCAACGCTCCCTCCTGTCACTCCCTCTGTAGTAGAGTGGCCG